ACGAGTAAATTTGTCGGCATTCCATGTTGTACCATCATCAAGTGTATATGTAGAAGGACCAATTTTCGCAGAAATCATCTGTGGTTCAGAATACTTGTGCTGAAATTTACCATGGTGTCTTGGCTTATGGACCTTTACATACTGTCCTGTTTTAAAAGATGGCACTTTCACTGCTCGCCTTGAGTCCGAGTACTTTTTCATCTTTGCTTGGTACACATGTACCCTTTCCGGCAGGTCGCGCTGGACAATGTGCCGAGGTAGAGGTGGATCCGGAGTTGCTCGTCCTTGGATGTGTAGGCGAGTCCGATGATTTCTTGCATGCAGCAGAAACGCCGGGGTTTCACCTGTGGCCGCATGCCGAGTGCTTCGATAAACTCCAAGGTATTCAGTGATGGCCTCTCGAAGCGGACGGCGTTGCACCATTGCCAACTGGATGACGGACTTTAGGACTCTATTGAATCTTTCAACTTGCCCATTACCTTGAGGGTGATAAAGGGAAGATTTTACGTGTTTTATGCCATTTGTCTGTAGGAACTGGTTGAACTCATGGGATGTGAATTGTGGACCGTTATCTGTTGTTATCTCGAGAGGCAGGCCCTCTCGAGAAAAAATCGATTTCAAAAAGTCAACGACTGACGCTGTCGTGACGTTGTGGGACGAAGCCACTTCCGGCCACTTGCTGTGGTAGTCCACCAAAGTAATGAAGTAACGTTCTTTTGATGGGGCTTGCTCAAACTAAAGCCCCTCGATGTGTTTGCGTTTGTCTTGCAAGTAGCGTCAAATGCGCGAGTGCACGAGGCCCATGTCTCGAGCGGCCCTTGGAAGCAAATGGCGGCGCAGCACTGAAATGAGCGGGCCTTGGAAGCGAATGGCGGCGGAGCACCCGCTCATGGCACGTGTCTCGCGCGCTTCCACAACAATGATTGGCGGTACTTGTCAAAAACGCTTTTATCAAGGGGCTTTAGCTCAAACGGCCCAACGATGTCGATGGCAAGCTTGGTCCACGAACGGGAAGGAAATGCTACCGGCTGTAGGGGCGCCGGGGAAGCCTTAGCGGGCTTGTCGGTGGAGTGACAAACAGTGCAATGCTGGATTACGTTCTTGATGTTTTCTGCGATATGTGGCCACCAATAAAGTTCCTTTATAAAACTCGTCGTCCTCGATATTCCTTGATGGGTCTCATGGCCGATCTGGATAACCTTGTCGCGCAGACTCGGCGGCACGATGATCTTCTCCCCTTGGAAAAGGAGTCCGTCGACCACGGAAAGCTGATCTCTAAGAACGAAATATGACCTGAGTTCTGGAGATAGCTTGGAGACAGCCCCGACGAACGCTGCTACACTTCTTTATTCACGCGCGCAAGGGCGATTAAAGGAAAAGGGGCACCCTGGTGGCGATTCATAAACTCAATTACAACATGCACCGTCTACTCGGCCTCTCCGTTCTCCTGAGGATGACGAGGGCTGCTGATAGTGTGCTCGAAACTGTAGTTTCGGGCAGAAGAACTGTGGTCCATTCACCGTTGCAGGTATCCTATGGCAGGCGAATAGGCTCTTCAGACATTCAATGACAGCCTCAGATTTTGTTGTTAGATAGGAGATCTTAAGAAAGCGAGACCGGTAGCCAGCGCAGAGCAAATACTTCTTGCCTCGTATATGAAACAAGTCCAGCCCAACCATTTACCATGACAGAGATGGCATCACCGTTGGCGTGAGAGGCTCGCCGTTTTGCTGACATATCTTCGTGCACACAACGCAATTACTGACAACTCTCAGCTCGGACTACAGGTTTGGTCACCAGCATAGGCGTGCGCACAGGGGGGGGGGGGGGGGGGGGGGGGGGGCAGGGGGGGGGGGCGGCCGCCCCCTCTAATCATCTAGGGGGGGGGGGGGGCGCAAAGTTGGCCCGACTCGAGGCGCGACGGCGCCGGCGGTATAGGCCTCCTGCGCTGAAGCTTTGAACAAACTATAGCGCCCTTATTTTGGGTAGTACAAGCTCACCTGATTGAGCATAGCCCTACTTATGGCACGTTGGTCGAGCTTTTTCTATTCTATGTGGTGCTAAAGAGCGAAAAAAACAACTTTGAACGCCAGAAATCGGCCAAACTCAACGTTGCAAGAAAATCGAAAGTGCCGAATTCATGACACCACCGCTAGGGCACGCGTCTCTTACCTGTGGGTGGTGACGTCAAAACACCTTTGTCGCGACGCATTAATTTTTTTTTTTTTTTCGTTTTGATGTCTACTTTGGAACGCGTGAAACGGCATCTCTTGGCTCACGCTCTCAGCGTCTTAGCTTTGACGGCGTTCGAATTTTTGTTCTGTCTTTGTATTTTCATCGTAATCTCGCGCTCCGCACCAGAGCAGGCACGCTTCTGCATGCGTGACAGTTTGAGACGCTAAAATTTGTACTACCCAAAACAAGTACTAACAAGTCTAAAGCCCCTTGATAAAGTCGTTTTTTACAAGTACCGCCAACCATTGTTGTGGAAACGCGCGAGACACGTGCCACGCGCGGGCGCTCCGCCGCCATTCGCTTCCAAGGGCCGCTCATTTCAGTGCTGGGTCGCCATTTGCTTCCAAAGGCCGCTCGAGGCACGGGCCACGTGCGCTCGCGCATTTGACGCTACTTGCAAGACAAACGGAAACATATCGAGGGGCTTTAAACAAGTCTTATTTGCAGCACCCTCTGGGCAGCGCAGGAGGCCCATGGTTTCTTTTTCGACGGCATAAAACACCGACGCCAAAGTGCCCTCCCTCTAGTGCGCGCAACGAAAAAAACAACCATAAAAACACGCCGCGACACAGTCAGTCATCGAACAGTTCACGACAAAATCGCGTAGAATTTTGCTTTAGACTTTTCACGATTGGTGAAAAGTGCTGTATCTCCCACGTGCTACAGATTTTCAGTAATCTAGTCATAAAATATTATTACCACCACATAACATATTCATTAGTCTGTATAACGTTTGTTGAGCATGACATAATGCGCGCGTGTTATCTTGTTGTTTCTATTACATGTTTCTATCAAGCGCCAGAAAGTAAGATTATCAACTGTACATTTGGATGCTCAGAAGAAAAAAAAGCCATGTCATAGCGTTTATCTTCAATAATTACTAAATATTGTAACTTGCTGTTTCGCGTATTTTTAATCTGCGGTATATTCTCGTGCTTTTAAGCTTTGCTATTACGTTGTGTATTGGGTGGCGTTTCTCGTCCTCTGCATGAACGTTGCAGACGCCATATGACAGCTTTCGCCATGTGTAGGTGAACCGATGCGTTTGCACTGTATGTATACTATATTTTCCATACAAGCAGAGTCACGTTGAGGCAATATTTTTAAATATTCTGTGCTGTTAATGATGGCATATGTGTCGTCTCTTTGTCTGTTTTAGAAAGAATAAAAAAAAATTTGTATGCGCGTTGTGTCACTGACGCCTCAGTTGCGCAGGGACTGCCTTTCTTTGCGGACGTTTCACAAGAAAGTGAAACCTACTGCTTAATAATATTTTGTATATGTTACAATTCAATATTGTTGAAATAAACGTTTCATAACTATATCTCGTCTCAGCACTACCATATGAGCGTAAGGACATCAGTGGGAGTGCGTTGACAGAAAGCGGGGGGGGGGGGGGGGGGGGGAGGAGGGGGGGGGGGGGGGGCGGCGGGGGCGCTCTGGGGAAACCTCGCCCCCCCCCCCCCCCTAATGAAAAATCCTGCGCACGCCTATGGTCACCAGACAGTTTCATTCGCGCGCTGCCTGCACTGTCCAATTCCCTGAAGTCCCTCGTGAAGTAGGTTTGATATCTCCTTCCTTAGGGAACCAGGAATAAGGCGAGTTCCATAGAGCAGAAAGTTTCGCAATGGGACAGGCTTTCTCTGTACTGCCAAAAGGGCGACACGTCGAGAGGAAGTCTTGACTATGATGGCCATATGTTTATGCAGTAAACCTAAAGGATCTGGCAAACTTTGTCTTTCTCTTGGGCTTATTCGACCTAATGGAGTGCTGCTTCGGAGACTCATCACTGCTCCAACAGTGCATGACTGAACCTCAGTGCAGGTCATTGTCTCCGCTGGCTTTCCCTCCATCTCCGGAGCCTTTGGCAGAGTATCAGCCGTCGCGATGGTCTTGCCAGGTAGCTTGCTAAAACGCTGGATACGAGTAGTGAGCAATCCCGTGCCAACTTTCCCCAGAGCATCAGCAAATGTTGATGATCCGTCTGGAAGGTCGCCGTTCCGGTTGTATCACGGAAATCGTCGAACTCGGCGATCCACACCAGCCACTCCAAGCTACTGCCGGGGTCTGCAGCAGTAGTTGTTTTAAAAAAAGAAACCTAAAACAAATGTGCCATCTTGTTTGCGCATTCGTGGCCGCCTTATTTTGGTCATTTTCTTCAAAACGTTTATACAGGCAAGGCGAGCACGTGCGGCGTGTTGACCTACGTATTTCCAGCATTCTCGTTGATGCTAGGCTAATTAGCAATAAGTCTATTACAATGCCTGGAGTCATCTATTTTGTGCTCGATCCGTTGTCAAGGCTAGCATAGCTTCCGCAGCACTTTAATTCTTTCGAGAGGAAGCCATCTGTTCACACAGCAGTGCATGACTGCTGCACTGTGAAAGCTATACGCTAAGCTGCACAATGTAGCACGAAATAGTTGACGCCGAGTATAGCTGTAACCATGAGGTTTCATAATATTGGCCACTCGACTATCAAAGTATATCTCATTCAATAATAAACTACTTGCTTGTACCGTGGAGTTTAGCAGCGCTCGAAACCTGCCTTTTTTGTGTGTTTGCAGCTTGCCTTCAGCTTGTTGAGAAATATTCCTCATCCACCGCTTCAGAACTTGATTACAAGAGTAAAGGGGGTTGGTGTGCGGTCGTGTGTCGCCGCTGCGCGATGGACCCCAGACTAGCGGTCCTACTGCAGTGGCAGAATTTCTCATAGACAATGGAAACCTCCCGCTGTCTAAACATGCAACACGATTACACTTACAGAGCCCTCGTGGAAAACGGCTTGGCTTCAGTAAGACGGCGTTTGGTGGGTGCCTTTGGAGCCTGACCCCATCCAACAGTTCGTATGGAATTCAATCTGTCTTCAAGTCACAGTAAGTTTGTTTCCACCTTTTTAATAAACAGTGGCGGTGGCTTGACTACAGCCGACCGTAGTCTAGAGCAGCTCTTGTACAGCTGTCCCCAGACTCCTAGGGGTCCGTGTTAGTTTTGAGATCGTTCACCAGGAAGGCGTCCTCAGTAGAGTTCAAATAGAGTTTCTTTATATGCTCCCTACAAGAGCCAGAGTTACGCGTCTGTTTTCCACGAGTTGCCGCGCTGCTATTTGCCGAGGTCGATCACGTAAAGAGCAAAGAATCCTGCGCCATTCAGGAAAGTCTTATCGCCAGCGTATACGTTCCCCTGCTTCTGCCTCCTTCCCCTCCTTCCCTTTCTTCCAAGCGCGGTGACGTGCGCGGTGCCGCTATTTATCAAATTCAGTCGCGTGACCGGCCGCAATCGACAGAGAACACTTCCTAAACGTGCGAAGGGTTGCTTGGTTGCTTTCCCGCATCACTTAGAATTTCAAGATGGCTGAATTCTCAACTCTGGCTCTTGTACGGAGCATATACAGGAAGTCTGAATCCCAGAAAAATGTGTGCATGATGATAGGGGTTGGGCTTGGAGAAGACAAAGCAGCAAACTAGGAATTTCGGGCAAGTTAATTGTTAAGTTCTTATACGTTGTATTTCGGGCACTTCTGGCCACCTCGACAGGTGTCGAAAATCCCTTCCAGTTGGGGCATTCGCTGCATGCTGTTAAGAGGCAACATCTTGGCAAAGTTTAGTGTTCTGTAATTCTATCGGTGTTTTGTGGTGTTCTGCATGCCCGGTGGTTACGAAGGAGCCATATTGTGTGTTTGACTACACGGCTTTGACTCGAGAGATCTCCGTGAAATAAAGGACGCAACAGGCCGTAGCCATCGAGCGTAGCCCGGGGCTACGCTCGACGGCGACTCGACGACAAACCTAAAGAACATTGCAACATACGGAGATAAGGGCAGGTTACGCGTTTGACTACAAAGCCCATATAAATTGAACCATTGTACAGTGCCAAGGCTTTGTATCTTTTGAAGGAAGCGCAATGAGCAGCCAACAGTAGTGACTCTCGGTGAACCTTGTAACCCTAGGTCTCAACTAAGCCTTTTTTATTAGGGGACCCTCTTGTGTCTGTAATAGTGAGACAAACTTGCATGTATATATTTCTCTGTTTGTTCCCAAATATACCTTTCCATAGTCAAGATTATGGGGTTTGATATTCAGGAGGCAGAGTTGCATGGGAGAGAATCGGTCCCCCAAAATAGACCGATCTCATTTGCCAGTTAGGCTATGCCATCGCTTCCGCAAAGCGTCAAGGGAACTTTAGTCTTTCTGCACGAGCGACAACCTCGCAGGAGCTCTGGGCATGCAGAGCACGAGGTCGCACGAGCTGCCTCGGGAACTGCCACATGCAACCTCTAAACTAAAGTTATGGCGGGTTCACGCATGCGCCGAACGCTTGGTGAGATCGGTTTATGGCTAAGGCTAAGTGGAAGTTTTGGTTGGGCTTTCCTTGTGGTGTTTTCTTCTAGGTGATGGCACCACATCGTTGCATGAGACCAGCTGCCCACTGAAAGTCACCGAGGACATCTGGTTCGGATGCTGTTCCTGCACCTATATCACCAGAGATCAACGTGTAATTTTGAGCCACCTGGCTGCCCATGGTGATGAACAATCCAAGTGTCAGCATCCTCCCACATCTGGCTCTAAGTCACAAGTGCTCAGTAACACTCAAAAGTGCAAGACTGAAAAGCCATTTAAGTGCAAGCTTTGCCCCCGACAGTTTGCTAATAATTCCCTTCTGACCTATCATAATCGAGCACACACTGGTGAAAAGCCATTTAAGTGCATGCAATGCCCCAAAGCCCTTGCTCAAAATTTCCTTCTGACCCGCCATACTCAAACACACACTTGTGGAAAACCTTATAAGTGCAAGCTGTGCCCCAAAGCATTTGCTCACAGTAAAAGTCTGATCTACCACAATCGAACACACACAGGTGAAAAGCCATTTAAGTGCAAGCTTTGCCCCGAAGAGTTTGCTCATTATTCTCTTCTGACCTACCATAATCATTTGCACACTGGTGAAAAGCCATTTAAGTGCATGCAATGCCCCAAAGCTTTTACTTCAAATTCCCATCTGCAAAGCCATAATCGAATGCACACTGGTGAAAAGCCATTTAAGTGCAAGCAGTGCCCCCAAGCCTTTACTCACAATTCCTCTCTGAGAAATCATAATCGGATGCACACTGGTGAAAAGCCATTCAAGTGCAAGCGGTGCCCCCAAGCCTTCGCTCAGAGTAGCAATCTGATCTACCACAATCGAAGACACACAGGTGAAAAGCCATATAAGTGCAAGCAGTGCCCCAAAGCCTTTACTCAAAATTCCTATCTGATAAAGCATAATCGAATGCACACTGGTGAAAAGCCATTTAAGTGCAAGCAGTGCCCCCAAGCCTTTGCTCATAAAACGAGTTTGACCCGTCATCGAAAACAGTGTTCAAAGGGAGACGAGGGTCTCTAACTTTTTATTTTTTCATTTATTGTGTTGAAACTCTCAGTAGCGATTTGAAATCTGCAATTAGTTTTAAGATAATTTTTCTAGGTCCTAACATCAATGCATTTATAATTTCATTTAGGTCCTTATGGGTCGTTAGCATAATTCAGAATATATCAGAATTTTTTAGAGAATTGGATTCACCAAGACATGTGTTGTGCAGTAATGCTATTTTTGTTGCTTTATATATCATACAATTTTAATTATTAAGTGCCAAGTATTAATTAGTCGCTAACGACCCATAAGGTGGGTCCAATTAAAATTACAAAATTATTGATAACTCAGAATGTAGTATTGCTATTGAAAACTAATTACACATCGGAAATCAACACTGAGAAATACATTTGTACACTAAATTTCAATAAAATAAACAAAAAAATAAAGAAAAAAATGAATACCCTTGTTTTCCCCTAAAAAATAAGAAAAAAATGAATACCCTTGTTTTCCCCTTTTACACTGTTGTTTCTTTCAGCTGCTGCAGATTATGGTACTGAAGTAATGACTGGTCCACACGCTTGCGGCTGCCTACGACCGGAGGAACCTGTTTTTAAGCCTCTTGTGAGGGCTCACTACTTTCTGCACTGCTGTGTAGGCGGTCGTAAGCAGTCACAGGAGCCTTGAAAACTGGTCTCGTCTCAGTCGGTCGTAGTCAAACGGAAGTGTGTGAATGGTCCTTCAGTAACTTTTTCCACGATTTTCATTTTGACGTCCTGTACAGTGCTAAGACCTCGTTTTAGCAGTTACCTCAGTGGGGAAATAATTGCCGAGTTTGTGTGTACACTGCAAAACTTCCTGCTACCAGTTGGGACGTCGCTAGTTGAGTCCCTCGCACTGGCGAACAGGTTTTGCTTTAAATGGGTACCCATTTTGAATACTGTGGAATTCCCCTTTAAGACTGCATTGATGAAAGGTGTGGAAAATTTGGATCAAGATCAATTGGGGGTCTAGTTGGTTGAACATCTAGACGGTGATTTAAAAAGCGCAAATGACTAAGAGGAGGAGAAGGGGACAGGACAGAGCGCTTACTTACAACTGTCAATTTAATAGAGCATGTAGTGAAAGACAAGGTGGAAGTGAAAAAGAAGAGAAAGATTAAAATAAACTTACAGCTGCCACTAAGAAACTAAGACAACACATTTAGTTTTTAGAAATCTAAATAAAAATTATTTTAACCTTATCTAGACAGAGTATTTGTGACATAAAATTGCTTATTTTATTTATTTTATAGTAGTATAAATAATAAAATTATTTTATTATTACTAGAAAACAAAAAGAAACCAAGAATAAAAAGAAAAGGACACAGAGCAAACGATATGACAGTTGTAAGTAAGCGCTGTCCTGTCCCTTTCTCTTTTTAGTCATCTGCGCTTTTTTAAATCAGCATTTATTTATTTATTTATTTAATTTACCTCAAAGCGCCCTTTCGGGCATTGTATGAGGGGGGGGGGGGGGGGTACAAGGTTTACGACAAAAATATTGAAACGATACATATCGTACATATTTGCTTAATAAACAAGAAACAATGCAATACACCGACTCGAAAGGAATACACTCTTACACAAACAGGAAACAACGTGCCAACCAGGCTACAAAAAGAGAGAGAAAAGACCATCTTTGCACATAAAAAACAAGAAGGACACCATCCCGCGATTCATTCCATGGAAAAGTGAAACAAACGTTCACATGATGATTTGAATTCATTTTTATCTATGATATCTACAACGTGGTGGGGCAAAGAGTTCCATTCTGCAATGGCAAGCTGTAATGGCGAGTTGCGAAACTGGTTAGTGCGACAATTTGATAAACGAATTTTGTGAGGGTGATCATGTCTGGGAAAGATGCGATGAGGGGGAGGTAATAAGAGTTCCTTAAGGCTAACATTATAGTAATAAATATTGTGAATGAAGGTAAGACGGGAGACTTTGCGCCTGACTTTTAATAAAGGTAAATTAGCCCTTTGTTTCAGTGCCGAAACGCTCGTGTAAGGTGAATAGTCACTAAATATGAAGCGCGCGGCTTTGTTTTGAATTCTTTCAATTTGGTCAATCAGGTAGTCCTGGTGGGGAGACCATATGATGCTGGCGTATTCGAGCTGCGATCTGACAAAGGACTTAAAAGCTAGCAAACGAGTTTCAGGGGGAGCTAAATACAACTTCCGCCTGATGAATCCTAAAGAATGATTTGCTTTCCCAACTAAGTAGATAATATGGTCATGCCAATTAAGACTATCGGAAATAAAAACACCCAGATACTTATATTTATTTACCTTTTCCAGAGGGACACCGTTGATAGAGTAGCTGAAATTAATTGATGTTTTCTTTGTTGTCACGGTCATATATTTGGTTTTATCTATGTTAATTCGCATTTGCCACTTGTCGCACCACGAAGCAATAGAGCTCAGATCGGTTTGAAGTGTCGAGGTGTCGTCTATATGTACTATCTTTTTATACAATACACAATCGTCTGCGAAGAGTCGAATCGATGAAGAAATGCTAACAGGGAGATCGTTTATATATATAAGGAAGAGAAGGGGTCCCAGGACAGAGCCCTGGGGCACGCCAGACTTAACATCAGTGGATAATGACAACTGATCAGAAATTACAACGGATTGAGTTCTGTTCGTAAGGAATTGTCTAATCCAAAATATCAGAGAGGGGTCTATATTCAACGTTTCAAGTTTTTGTAATAACCGCTGATGCGGTACACAATCAAAAGCCCGGGAAAAGTCTAGAAATATCAAGTCGGTCTGTTGGAGCGAATGAACGTTATCATAAAGATCGGTTACAAGCTCGAAAAGTTGAGTCTCACACGATTTGCCTTTTCTGAAGCCGTGTTGTCCCTCAAAAAGAATGTTGTTCTCCATGACAAAATTAATAATATGACTATATAGGATATGCTCTAATATTTTACAAGGGATGCTCGTTAACGATATAGGCCTGTAGTTATTTAAGCATGACGTGTCACCAGACTTGTGAACCGGAATTATTTTTGCATGCTTCCAATCACTCGGCAAATGCCCATCTTCGAGGGATTGCTGGTACAATAAAGCTAGTATGTCGCTAGAGAACGGCTGCGTAAGTTTCAATAGTTTAGTGTTAATGCCATCTATGCCTGGCGAGGAACGATAAGGAAGGTCTTCGATAAGTTTACTTACACCACGTGAACAAACAGTGATCTTTTCCAAGAAAGCGTGGTCATAGGTCAATTCACAAGAAGGTAACGGAAACGATTCGTTGGTAAAAACTTCACTAAAACATTCATTAAAATTGTTGGCAGTTTCAAGGTCAGTGCATCTATTTCCCTCCGCATCCGTAAAGTTAAGATCACAACTTGTTTTCGGTGGATTTATGCAACTCCAGAATTTTTTTGGATTTGACTTCAGAAGGCCATTTAGGTCATCTCTGTAGAATGTTGTTTTCGCTTTTTTAATTTCGGAAGCACATATAGATGAATGGGAATTATACAAGTCCCAAGACAAATTAGTGTTCCTTTCCACAGCCCTGTTGTACAAGCGTTTCTTTTTGTTCAAAAGAGACTTAAGTTTTTTAGAAAACCACGGACGTAAAGGGTTGTTCGGAATTTTGATTGTTGGAACGAAGTTTCTGAGGATATAATTCAGCTGATTTTTAAATGCGATCCAGTTTTCTTCAACAGACCGTAGGCGGAACGACCGCTCAAAGTCATCAAAAAAGATCCTCATAGTTGTGCTTATTTCATCAGTTTTTGCCTTTGAGTAGTCGTGGATTTCTTTAAACTGGTTACGGGGGTGCTGAGTTGTCATTTCGACTTCGACTAAAACCATTTTATGATCACTAATTTCTTCAAGAACATTTACGCGCTTAATTAAGTCAGGGGCAGTCGTGAAAAATAGATCTAGAATAGAGGTACCTCGGGTAGGTTCAAGAACAACTTGAGAGAGGAAAAGTGATTTAAAAACATTCAAAAACTCTAAACACTCGGAAACATGTCTGCAGTCAGGTATTGGTTCACAAGAAATCCAGTCAATTCCTGGGTAATTAAAATCTCCTCCAAAAAAAACGGGACATCCGGGGTAACGAGAAATAACGTCATCGAGGCTAATGCAAAGATCCCGGACAAAATCAGCGGTAACATGAGGCGGCTTGTAGCATACACCAACCAAGATATAAAAAAACGAAAACTTAACGCGAACCCAGAGCATTTCGAGTTCGGTATTTAATTCGACAGGGACAGAGTGGAAACATTTTTTAACAGCGATAAGCACCCCTCCACCCTTTGAGTGCAACCGGTCTTTCCGATAAACCAGATAATCTTTATCAATAACAAGTTCACAGTTATCAATTTCACTGGAAAGCCAGGTTTCCGTTCCAAGTATGACATGCGGATTACAGATGTCGATCGAACACAAAAGGTCATCTTGCTTCGAAACAAGACTCCTAAAATTAGCAACAAGAAAAGACACAGCTCCGGAAAGGCGCTTCTTTGCGCGACGTCATGATTCAGTTGGTGTGGACATAAAGTTTCTTCTTTCTTGTTCGATCACATCACCTGATTCGGCATTGTAAAAGAACATACGATCGCCAACGAAAAGCTTGTCAAAAACGAGGCGCACACGCGTCTGGGTCGAACGGAGGGGCCTACCGAATTCCCATAGCATTTTTCGAGCATGACGAATGTTAGGTGAAAAGTCTTCGTCTATCCAAACACGTAAGTTCTCAAGTTGTTTCAGCTTTGACGCATTTTCAAGGATTTCCTGTTTCTTTTTAAAGCTACGGAAGTTAACAATGATCGGACGAGGGTAGTCCCCCCGCCTTCCTCCCAGACGGTGAGCGCGCTCAATTTCTCCTGCCTCAATTCCAAGGTGCGTTTGAATAAAGTTCTTCACAATTTGCTCGGACCTGTTCCACGATTCTTTGTCTTCTTCTGGAAGACCCTTAAATATCAGGTTATTCCGGCGTTGTCGGTTATCCAGCGCGTCCAAACTAGTTGGTATACGACTTAGGTGGTTACAGGTAGCGGATATCGCTTTTACTTCATTTTGCAGAGTAGCTATTTTTGCTTGGACATCGACAACGTCGTTCTGAACCCGTACCAAATCCTCTAGCCTTTTTTCTAAATGAGTCACTCTTTCATTCAGATCTTTCACCCCATCTGCAATGCTAGAGAGTTTTGTTGCGTTTTCCCGTTGGTATTGCTCAGTAGACTGAACAAGTTTTTCAAGCGTCCTCTGAAGTTTATCCAAGTCCCCGGGGCCGGGGTTCAACTCCACATCACCGGCAAGGATCAAGACATTGCACAGACACAAAGCCAATAACAATACGTGAGCTCTAGGGACAAACGCTAATGCCCGCGGAACAAAGAGATAGCGTCGACTTGAGCCGTGCGAGAGGGAGTAGGAAAAACATCCTATGCGAGCGCGATAAAC